AGTTACAGCAGCAGAATAGTGCAAGGAGACTGTTTCAGCCATAAGACAGTTGATTTCCCAGACTGTATCCATCATGGCAGTACTGAGCTGTGGTTTTGATAAGACAAGTTAAAGAGAAGAATGAGCACAGGAGGAGGGTTGTTTAGTTGATTTTATTGTGATTTTGGAGAACTTCATCCAAAACCTATTGAAGTCCATGACATGAGCCTTTCATAGGGAATCATGAACATCTGAATGTATGTGTCTGTGGGTGAGCGACGTATGAAAGCTCCAGTTATTGCAGTGGATACCTAGGTCTAGATTCAGGTGCCTCAGGCTAGGTGTTTAGGGCCACTTCAGTTCTGCTTGTCTTTCATCTGCTGTTCCAGAGGAACATGGAACCCTAAGGTCCTGTTGAACTGAGTCAGTACAGTAATCACATCCTGAATCTCTCACTAAGCTCCATTAGCCATATTGACTGCATCTCTTTTGACTGTATCGGGGACTTAGCATGCTCACTCAAAGATACCCACTCCTGGATCTTAGTAACAAACTGAAGGATATAAGCTAACAACTCCAAGGTAACAAACTCCAAGGATATAAAATCTTATACTGCTGGGTGAAATCCTTACTCTGTTGACATTGGTAAGAGTTTTGCCACAAACTTCAGTCAGACTAGGACTTCACTCTCTGTGTTCTATGAAGTACTTTGTATCCAAGCATTTTGTTCAGCTTGCAAATGCTGATACTTCTTTAATTAAAATTAACTTTCCTATCCATCTGTTATTCCACTAATATCCCAGATAATGTCTCACGGTAGCTCCCAAAGAGCCTGGAAAAAAAATGTAGTATCAGCATTTACGGTTGGGTAGTGAAGTACAACAGAAGCATTGAACTTTTCTGAGGTCACCTACAGTCTGAAGTAAAGCGTGGCACTGAGGTCCAAGTCCAACAGAGGTGTGAGCATGTGTCTCCACACATCACTATGTAGTTCCTTATGGAAGATAATAACTTGGAAGTCAAAAGCAGTACAGCTGCCTGTGTCCCTGAAGCAGTGTCCCTTGGTTTAGGGGTAGCCCCATGTTAGTGCAGTGGCATTGCCCAGCACTGGAACAAGCTGTCTTGGTGCTTGCTGGGATATTTCTGTACTGCTGCACTGTAGAATGTAAATGTGCTTTAAATAGAAAATATGTTCACCATCTATCTGTAAGATGCTTTTTAATAATGTGCTGTGCTATTTTTTGTGATACATTCTGTTTTGAGGAACTTTTTTTTCTGTTTGTGAGCTAAGAAATTATGCCAGAATAACTGAGAGCACTTGTAAGACTGGAAATGAATCCATGTGAAAAGAACAACTCGTTATTTGAATAAGTTTGCCTGAAGGGTGAATTTCTAAACTTTTAGTAAAATTCCATTCCCTTCCCTTCCTTCATGTTAATTAAATTAAAGCTGGGAGAATAGGAGACCATAGCATGGTAGTTTGATATATCTGGGGCACAGTTCAAGAAACAAAAAGTCATCTTACCCCTTTGTCTTGTCTGCCTTTTTATTGAGCACTGTGAGATTTCATGTGCAATAATGAACTTCTTTTATGCTAAACTTTTCAGTATTACCAAACGAAAGAACATGTTGACAGGAAACGAAAGTTGCATAATCTCTAAGTCCATGACTGAATCACTGCTCTGTTCATCACTGCGCTGTTTGATACAGCATCAGGAGGTTTCTTTCTTCCACTGACTTGAGTAAAAGAAAGATCAATTCCTAAATGACCACTTCCATCAAGACATCAGAGCCACATTTCTTTTAGTTATAAAATATCCCCATAGTAAAATGGGATTAAATAGTGCGTGTTTATGACATCTAGCAAAATCTTCCAGGGAGATCATGTTATTGTTGGAATCAGTGTTTTCAGGCAGTCTTGTGGAGTGGGTTAATGCAGTAGCAATATTTCTCCAGCTTTTTCCCGATTTCTCTTTCTTACACTTGGAAGCGGTGACTTTTGACTGTTCTGTGCTGGACCACATGCAGACACAGCTGGAGGCTCTTGGTTTCTTTGACTGCACTTGCTGTCCAAACAGCTGCTCCTCACTCCCTCAGAGGAAGACACAGTGGGCAGATAGAAATATTTTACAGGCCAGATGGGGCTAATGGGCCACAAACTGGAGCAATCTAACCAAAATACATATTTAATTGAAGGTTGTTTCTTGGATTTCTGGCATGGAATTACTTACCGTGCTTGACTGGTTTGAGGTGACCAGATCTAGTTTTGCATGTTTCAACTCCTGATCACGTCAGTGGTATTCACTGGCACTCAGACTTTCCAGGAATTGCTCAGTGCCTTCTGCGATCAGGCATACATACATGCTTCAGATAGTCCTCAAGTAAGTTTAAGGGCAGTTCTGCTAAGTGGAGCCCCTACTGTATATGACTGTTGTCACATCCACTATGGTAATTTCTGGAAAAGTCTGCTTTGCTAGTTTGCTTTTGGTTTGTTTGTTCGTGTTTTTCTGCCAAAATGTTGGCTTTAAATTTGTATATCCAAATGAAAGTTAGTGCTGCTTGTGCAAAATGCAAAGAATTTCCCCGTGTTTATGCCCTTCATACCTTTAAGAGCGATTCTTCAGATTTCACCAGCTAGACAGGATCTGATTAGGGTAACATGTATAAGAGGTATGCCAGGAATGGCAGTGGACTTCAGTTGCTGGTCTTCATTAGCCAGTATTTTTTTTTTCTTTTTGACCTACACAGGTATCTTGAAATTAGATCTCTGTTGAGATGTACATCTGAGACGCATAACATTTGTGGACATCCCTCAAAATGTCCCCTTGGCCAGATTAATTTTAAAGCAATGACCTGCTTCTCTACATTTCCCCTGTTGTTTATTTAAATAAGAGATGCTCCTTTACCTCCTCAGCCAAATAACAGTGCAACATTTAGAAGATCTCTTAAAGCTGCTACACCCTGCACCAGCAGTGGTATCATTTCATTAGTGGAAGTTAAACCTTGTTGAGAAAATGGGGTGTAAAGTGTTACGTAACAGGAATCATTTAATGCGAAGATACTTAAAGTTCTGTTTATACTGTATGCACGGGTCCAGTTAAGTTTCTCTTGATCCCATTGTTCAAAATAATTTATCTGTCCTAAGTAAGGACAGAACTGTTTTTTCTAGTATTCTCATCATGTTGGAACTAGCATACCTGATGTTGAAAAGCTTTGAGATTCTCCAAGAGAACATATAAAGACAGAAATAAGAATAAGAAATAAGAATAGGTTTCAGATTGCTTAGTTATGAATATCAGTGATGAATTTTGGTTAATTAAAAATACCTACTGCTTGCACTTCCAGTGCCTTCTGAGGATAGCTCTGGCTAGCCCAGTGTCTTCTCCCTTTCTCTTCAGGTAGGACAGCAAGTGCCAAGAAAATTTATAAGACAGGGCATAGTTAAGGGTCAGCCTATTTGCCTCCATGTCCATCAGAAAGTAGGTATTTATCTGTGTTTAGATAAGACACTGTAGAAGAGTGAGCCTAACATATGAAGCACCAAGATGTCAACAATAACAGAGCTCTGGAAGAAATTTCCTAGAAAGGACCATATTGGCCAAAGGCACTCATATAAGATGTTGTCTTGACTGATAAGATGCCAAGAGTCAGACCACAAAACTAAAAGAAATGAGATCAGACTGAGATCTTAAGTTATGGCTAAGATCCAGCCCTCAAAAGGAAAGAATCAGATGAGGGTTGGAAGACTTCGTCTGAGAAAAGAGACATCTCTTCTTCCTTTAATTCTCTGGCTGATGTTATAAAGGAGGAGCTTATGCCCTTTCATTAGACGTAGAGTATGCATGGCTTAATTGCGTAGTAGTACCAGTATGTGGGTATATAAAACTAATATATGTTGGAGCTTCTTTGTGGACTCAGGCCAAACACTGATCTCAGTCAGCCTATTGAGACTTAGTCACTAAGCTGCTGAATACAGTGCTAGTCCCACCATGCTTTGCTGAATTCAAGTTACCTAAAGTGTGGTGACCCAGTGAGCCACTCGTGCATGGAATGGACCTTGTCTAAATGTACTGTTCAAGTTCTCTTTATAATAATTTCTAAAGGTGAATCTATTACTGAAGTAAGATATGCAGTTGTTACTCCATAGGTGGAATAGGTGGTATGTGACTCTTCTTAGAGATCTTACAGCCCATATGTTTTGAGGTATCTATGGATGAGCTTGGATGACTTTCAGCAGTGTAGGAAAGATTTGGAGGTCAAACGTTTGAAGATGCCTAAAAGCCTATTTTTAAGTTATAGTCAACTGACTTTCCAGCAGTATCTGGAATATTCAAAATGTGTTGGAAATGGGACTCTATCTCCCAAATGATCTTTAAAAACAGATGGACAAAACTGTTATGATAATAAGGGGCGTGAGACAAAGGGGTATAACTCAGTGATTTTTCTCCCTCTTCAGATATCCTTTATGATTAGGATAGATCACAATTCCAAATTTGTTCCTTTTGCACATTGCAGGATGTATATGTGTCACCTCTAATTTGTTTTGTGGAGGCCCTTGAAAAGCATTATGAGAAGCCAGGAAAAATATAATTTTTTTAGCCCTTTGTCCATGTCAGCTGTTTCTGATGTTCAAGAGATGAACGTCCTAGGCAGGCTTAGACAAACTCTTCCTGCATATGATCCAGCAAGTTGCTATTGTTTCCAATGCAGCACTTTCTTTGCCCTCTAATACCAGACACAAAAGGCAGTCATAATTTTGTCACCTCCACTTGTTTGATTAAAAAATAGATTATCTAATCATAGAATGTGCCAAGAGATTTTATATAACAGTTTTTCATACCAGCTATACATTGGTTTCTCTTCACATACAGCTTTGCAGGAGAAAGATTTTCACATTCTGCATCCCAAGACTAAGAAAAAATTGAAACAAATTATTTGTAAGGTTTTAATTCCAGCTCACTTTTCCTTTCTCTGATTTTAGCAGCTCTCTCTAGAAGTGCTCTTTCTGTCTTTTTCTGCAGACTGTATGTGGATGGACCTTTTGGAAGTCCCTTTGAGGAATCCCTGAACTACGAGGTCAGCCTCTGCGTGGCTGGAGGTATTGGAGTTACACCATTTGCATCAGTACTCAACACACTGCTGTAAGTGAGCTTAAGCCTTTTAAAGTCATTTCCCCACAATTTACCATAGTAGTGCATGTCAGAAAGACTTTCAGAGTATTTAAAAACTGCCATTAGCATAACGTAAGTGGATTACTCCTTGGTGAGAGGTAGAGGACTGGGATGTCCCCTGAAGAACATAAGCCATCTCATACAGGCTTTGTAACCCAAAGAGTTGTGTCAAAGTTGTGCCAATAATGCACCTGAACTGGGATGGGACAGTGTCACTAGCCTTTATATCCTGCCACCTGCCTTGCCTGTGGCTGATGTAGTCACAGCCCTTCAGCTAGATGAGGCCATGGGCTAGGGTAGTGAGTTTTTGTGAGTCAGGATGTTGTGACAGTCTTTCTGCTGGAAATGCAGGGAGAGCTCTCCCAGTCTGTTTGACATTCTATTCAGAACCTTTGACTTCTTGTTTCTCTGTCACATTGACAACATAGTTCCTACCGTATCTTACGCTATGTGAAATAGGCTTGCTTTTATGATTTCTGTTGATTCTTTTATTAATTTTTTTCTTGCTGGAGTACTGAATAAGACCTCTAGTCACAGGTTAAGCACCCCAGTTTCATAGGCACTGTATAAATAGCCAGCCAAAGTATCAAGCCTTTCCTGAAGTGTTTTAAAGCTAGATGGCTTTGTGAGGGTTTTACAACGCATGACTGAAGCATTTGTTCTAAGATGAACATGCCAATGGCCAGCTCTGACTCCAAAGTGAAGTTAAATCCTGGAATTTAAGTGCTGTGCATGTTCTTCTGTCCTTGATCTGGGCTGGACCTGACAGTGCTGAGTGGTTCTGATAATTATCAGCCCTACCAGGCTGTCTCATAGTGCTGCAGCCCTCAAAGGCCATTTTGGGCTCCCTCATTTTCTTCTCTTGAGGGTGTATTGATCATCGTCTCAAGAAGAGGGTACATCTTTGCTGAAAGCTTGGGGCCCAGGTGGGTAAGATGACCATTCTCCCTGTGATAGATTATCCTTGATAGTACGTAGCAAAAATGTCACAGGTCATAATGATGGGCCAGCAGCAGGTTATATTTGCCTCTCTCTACCGGAGTGTTATCAGAGGCCGTTGGAACTTGCACAGACATTGCCATAGAAGGTTAGTGTCCAAAAGCTTTTGCAATGTCCTTTTATTTGGATAAAGACATAAACTGGCTTCCAAGCCAATCCCATAACCTGCCTCTGTAGCCAATCTTCCCCTTGTGCACTGTACAATATGCAGGGGAATCTCTCTGTGATTCTGAGAAAAAGTAACAGCCCTAGCCTGCTTCCCTTCACAGTATTTAAGCATCAACAAAACACTGGTTTAGTGGATGATCTGCCTGTTGTCATTGCCCTGGCTTAGAAGCAGAAATTGCTGGGTGTGAATATGCAAACTACCTTATGATGCCAGCACTGCAGAGCAGCGGGGCCAGTCCTGTTGTGTCAAGGACGTGCCGGTCTGGGGGAGATCATAAGCCTGTCGATGTAGTAATTTGTTTCCTGCTCAATTGTGATCCTGTTGTATGTACACAATTTCATTCCTGCTTCTGCCCTTCCTTCCACTTAACTGTTGAACCCTATACCCTATTTTTAAGAAAAAATAACTTACATTTAGAAAAGCTAGTGGCTCTCATGCAGAAGGGTCTGTAGATAATTACTGTTATTATGGGCAGTGGTAACATAGAAACACACAAGAAGTGTTATATACATGTGGATTTGGTTGTAATGAGGGATTGCACGTTTATTGCATAATATAGCCTGCTGGAGGTAGCCCCAAGCATGTGTCTGAGGTGCTATTTTAAATCTATGCTTGACTTGTTTCATGAAGACTTGCAGTCCAGCTTTTTTGTCCAGCTGCAATGTTTCATCACCAAAATTGGTGTTTTGTTACCGAACTACAGTATTTCGATACAAAATGCCTGGCATTTTTCTCTTCTTTTATCATTTTTTATGGTGAAAGGCACTTATTTTCCTTATATTGCTTATAGTTATCTTGTCACATCTGACCAGATCGAGACCCTTCCTAAGGGCTTAGTATAAGCAGTCAGAAAAAGATGCAGGTCAACAGTTTACAAATAAAAAAAGCTAAATAAAAAAGCTGAAATCAGGACTTGAAAGACACCGTACTTCTCAGTCTTAAAGCATTTTTTTTATCTCTGTGGGGAGTTTACACAAAAGGTGAGTTCTCAGCCTGAGTTCTCAGCCTCTACATGCTGCTGAGAATGTCTCCATCCGTGCTCCTCAGGCTTACAGTGAAGGTTAAGGGTATAGGGAAGTAGGGCAGTGGTTGGAGCCATCACTTATGTAGATCTATTAATATTATACCCTTGCTGGGTATGCCAGCAACACTAGAGTTTGAAATAATACACAATGGGTATGGTGAGATGTATCATGAAACTTTTCAACTGCGGTTGGCTCCTGGGACTAGCATTTGAAATTGGCAGGCTATGGCCTTCTCTATCTGAAAATTATTTTATGAGGAAAAGGATGAAACAATCTGTGCACTGATCATGTCAGTGATCAGAACAACAGAAAACAGCATTAGCCAACTAAGAAGATACTTCCTGGATATTTGTGCTTTATTTGAACTCATTAATCATCAGGGGTTTTTTCACTTCTATTTTCTTTCCTATTTCATGCCAATCCTTCTTTTGTGCCATATTTGTGTTTTATTCGAATTAGAAATCTGACACGAGTCCTGTTTCTCTAAATGCAATGACAGAATCTGCCCATGACTGCACTTTACCCACCAGCATTTTCTAAGGACTGTAATATATCACACAGTTCCCTAACACAATGGAGCTCTGATTTGATTTGGTCTTTGTGATTTTGCTATAGTATTAATTATAATCAGCCAGAGCCTTTCACATATAAAGGCAGAATTAAGTCCTGACATTATTGCATTTGTCAATATTTTCCTCTTATGGGTCGCTTTATAAACCTGGTAAAGAATTGACATAATATACTTGAATTTAGAATGTCTGCTTTGCTTTGAAATAAAAGTTTAATGATGATGCATGAATCCATATTTCCTGCTCAAATCATCTATATAGCTGACAACTTCCTAATGTGGAAACAGTATCTGTGAAGGCTGTTAGCTCTGTGCTAGACATTTAATATTCTCAGGATCATCCTAATAGGCTGCATTGGTCACTTCAGTGTCTGATGTATCATAGGATGAAGAACAACTTAACAGTTAGCTTCTAATGGAAATTCACATTTCCACTAATGAATATAAAGCATCTTCATTAATGTTCCTTTTTAAACTATAGTTTTTAATTACCCAAACATTTTATTTTCAAGTGATGGCTGGAAATGCTACAAGCTCAGAAGACTCTACTTCATTTGGGTGTGCAGGGACATTGAATCTTTCCGCTGGTTTGCAGATCTGCTCTGTATGTTGCATAACAAGGTAACTGGTGTTGTTTGGAGGGATACTGACAGCTTAATAAATGCAAGGTATGTCCACACCACACAACTGACATGCTACAGAGAAAGGCACCCTTGCTCAAAACAAGGGAACTCCAGCAGCACTTCTGACTGGGCTACCTGACCCAGACTCCATTTACTCTTGGAGATGCACAAAACAGTTTGAGTATCTGTCACCAGTATTTCATTGCATAGTGTTGCCATGTACCAGTAGTCTGGACACTTATCTGTGAAATTTATGACATGGAAGAAGAACATGCAGATTGGAGAGTCTTCAGTGGCCTTTAGCCATTTGGCTAGTAGACAGATCGAGAAGGGAGGGGGATTTATAGCTTCCGGTATATTTTAAGAGCAGTGTAGCTTCCTAAAATAATATTTTATACACAGCATGATGTGCAACATTCTGGAGTTCACAAAGGGGTGTTATGAAAATGTATCTCCTTCATTAAAAAGCTGAAACCCATGTCCCTCAGAATAGTAGGCACAAGTGACTTTATGCTTACATTAAGAGAAGGGATATTATTTCACTAGCTGTTTTTATCATCCTCCCAGCTTTGGCAAGAGAACCGACCAGACTATATAAATATCCAGCTGTACCTCAGTCAGACAGATGGAATACAGGTATGTGTCTAAATGCTATTTGTAAACTGAACTAGACCTTGGGGTAGTGGACAATGGAAACTGTCAATCAAAGGCAAGAGGGAATTACTGCAGATGGTAAAAACAGGAAATGAGGCCATGAACTCAAGTGTTTGATTCATTACTAGGGCAAGAGAGCAAGTCCATCCCCACAGCATTAAGAGAATGTAGTCTAGTAGTCCTAACTTGATTAGATGTGGGCAGAAATCCATATCTTCCTTTTCTAGGAAAGAGGTCCTTCCAGGCCAGACCACAGACCAGACAGTGGCCGTGTTTGATTGGAAATCTGCATCATTTCTGGGCTAAAAGTCAAAACAGAATAGTTCTAGGAGCTTGCAAGCTCAAATCTTCTTTTCAAATAAATATTTTGAGAAAAACTAGCTATTTTTAAAAACCTTGGATTCCTTTCCCTCAGATATAGACAAAATGTACAAATTTCTTGATGTATGAGACTGGAAATTACACTGAACTGTCGATTGTCATGTATTACCAACCCCAAAGCTGGGCTAATTTCCCAACTCTTGGCATCTCCCATAGCTCTTTATGCTTACAATCTTCATTTTACATTATTTAGCACATGAATCTAGGCCTAATTCCTTACCCTGCTGCATCTGGAAGCATTCCATTGACTGCAGCAGGCCCAGAAACAAGCCTAACAATTACTACAAAACATGAAATGCAGTGGGAAACCATGCCCAAAGAATTTTGATCTGCTTGGTATCAGATGAAGATAGCATAACATTCACAGCTCTGGTAGGAACACTATCCAATAGTTTAAATGATGAGATAGCTGCAGTAGTTTTGAACAGTACTCCACACATTTAATGCCTGGACAACATATGTCAATTGAAATGAGGTGCTTGAAGATAGCTAATTGATGAACTTGGTATGTAATTGTTAGGTTAAAATTAAAACCTGAAGCAGGACAGCATTGCAATGACACAGCAAGATTGTAATAATAGACAATTCAAAGCAAGTTTTCTAATACCGTTTGTGAAGCAGCTACTGCATTTATTTGTCAACTATGTTTTAACGTTTTCTTTAAAGTCACTTTTATTTTGTGGTTATTGAACAAAACTGGCATGATCCATAACGTTGCTCATGATTTCTCAAGGGGGAGTTAAACTCAGCTCTCCATTGCCATACAGCTTATGTGTTCACTGATATTAGTCCAAGGTGCTGACAGCTACCAAAATTAGGGCAGTTTTGCTTCATTCTCCCTTTGCTCAAAAGTAGTATGCCTGTGCAACAACAGGGAGCTAAGCCCATCCTTCAGCAAATGCCTCTTGAATATAAAATGCCAACAGAGGATGAGTTAGCCAAGACTATGTGTTTGCGTTGGTAGGAGCCGTGTTTCAGGTTGTTCAGCAGTGGAGTGAACGTGGGAGTCTAGATAAGACGTAACTTCTCTCTACCTTTCTATCACATTAAGACAGAAAACCAAGGAAGGGTAATGCCCTGCCATGGAAAGGCATTTGACCTTATCAAAATGCTGGTGAGTTAGCATTGCTGGAATGGGTCAGGTTCCACCCAGGGAGCAGTTTTGGCTGCTTTCTGCTGTTACAGCAGCTCAAAACAGCTGGCAAACTACTCTCAGAGATAAATGTAAGATTTCCCTTGTTACTTTTTCAGACCTAGTCATCTTAATAGTTACTTGTACAAAGTTAAAAAAAAAGACTTCAGATAGAAATATGATTTTTGCATCAGCAGTGTTTCTTCCAGTTTAGCATTAAAAGCCAATAAGGGAATGAATAATAGGAGCATGGTTATTTTTTTATGGCTTAAATTAATTGGTTTAAAAGTAATGGGGAGATTAATGAGCAACTGCATGAGGAACAATGTATAACAAACACCACGGAGAGCCATTGAAAAGGCAGTGAGCAGAGGTATTGGTGCATGAAATGGCTGCAGTTTTAATCACAACTGTCTGATACTTGTGCTCAGGTTTTATAACTCAGCGATGTGGTAAGTCAGCCAATGTCAGAAATGGGAGCCCTGGGTGATATGAGGCAATTTGCAAATCAAGTAGAGTGGAATTTTTTGTTTCTTGCAGAAAATAATTGGTGAAAAATATCAAGCTTTAAACTCAAGGCTTTCGATTGGACGGCCCCGGTGGAAGCTCCTTTTTGATGAAATAGCAAAGTGTAACAGGCGGTAAGTACCAGTCCGCATGAAGGATGCCACAGTTTGAAGGCTGGGCATATTATCTGTTTCTAGCTATGTTTGTATGAAAATATTTTTGGGTTTGATCTTCTAGTGTAATGTTTAAACTACTGATGTTGAAATTAACTAATATTTTGCTGTGAGAGATAGCCTGTGCAAACTAAAACTTTTTTTTTTTTTTTAAACACTCAGGACAGTTCATCTTTTCATGCAGCTAAGATGTTCAGTGGCCCAGAAAATAAAAGTAATAGATTTTCATCTCACTGCACAGAGATTTCATATGTTTTTGTCCGTGGCAATATCTTGCTTGCAATGTATGCTGTTTTTATATATGAAGTTGCATTTTTTAAAATTGTTGACTTCTTCTATAATTTTCATGATTTATAGTGCTGGTTTACAAACAAAACGCATGAGGAAGAACCTGACTGTCCTGTATTGTTTTTATTCAGTGAATATATTGTCTTTGGAGATTCCTGGCACTTCTTTATTCTTTGTTAAGACCTATCAAGGCCTTTTTATTGTGCTTGGCAAGCATATTATGGTCTGAAACAAGACAGTTGTAAACCAGAGAAGACATGCAATTTGACTATGGAATGTCTTTGTCCAGATCCAGCTTTGAGTTTTTTACCCCTCACTGGCAGTTTTCTGCCTCAAAAACTGATCTGGAAGAAGGGATTATGTGAATCTTCCCTAATCCACTTCTGGAAAAGTCAGTGGGGTGGGAGCAAACCAACCTTAGTAGCGGTTGATAGTAATCTGGGTGCACCAGGTTGAGAGGTGTTTTCATGTTCACCTGCGGAACTTTCCCTCAACTTTCTGTCCTCAGTTTCACTTGCAAAGTGAACATCTGCCCATGGTTTATTGAGTCTTCTGTTCTGAGGTTGGATATAATAAGGGGACACTGAGCCCTGGCTCTTGAGAATACTGAGTGTCAGTCTATATCACTGTTGGCAGTGTAAGCTGCTGAGAATATGTATCTTGGATTCAGGTTCTAGAGGATGTTGTGGACAGAGTCCCCTGCCAAGATGCCCCAAAGGCTGCTACAGAGGGACATCCCTAGTAGGATTCTCACACTATGGAATCAGATATCACTTAGAGAAGGTATTTGTAGTAAAGAACCATGGAAAATAAAGGAAAATAGATCAGAGAAGCAAGTTGTCTTGCTCAGAGTCCTCTGCATAGATAACTGTTGACATTTTATGTTCCATTCTGTCTTTTTTGCTTAACTGTGTGAACGCAGTTTTAAAAGATGAGAATGATGAGGTTTCTGCCACTTCCTTGCAAGGCTGTAAGTGCACATAATATAGATGAAGCTATTAGTAGTAGTCATACTTGCTTTTTCTTTTGTGCTTTCCATCACATTATTCCTAATTAGACTTCAAGTACCATTTCCTCTGCATTTTCACATCAGGTCTTTAAATTGCGCAACCATTTCCAAGCAAGGTGTCTTTTAGTACCTAAATAATGTTCTGATTCTTTTGATTATCTTGCAGCTTGCTAAGATCTAGGTTTCCTCACGCTTTGTCACCTCTTTATCAGGGTTTATAGATAGAGGTCTGTAGACGTAGTTACACGTAACATGATAAGACAGTAGTGCAACGTGTAACTCAGCTATACCACAGAAACTTACCTGTTGTAGGTAAATATTCTTCCTATTTCCCTGGATGAGACAGGAATTTCTGTTTTTCTTTATAGTTCAATTTCCCAGTCTCCTACTAACTTTATTTCAGTTCTTTTTTTCTCCATAACTTTCAACCTAAATGACCTTGCTGCAATAGAGACCAAAAAAAAAAAACCAACAACCCCAAAAAACAAAACAGGGCAGCCAAGTTGTTTCCCGCATCTGGTGCTAGTGTTCAGGCTTTTACATGTATTTGCATTCATTCCTTTGGGCTTGTTTATGGGCAGCCAAGATATTTTCCACTTTTTATCTTGTGATTTTAGTAAAAGCTGTGTGTAAATAAACATGCAGCTGGCAAACCTCTCACCAGTTTAGCCATCTGATTGGTTTGTGGTTTGTGAATTGTTGCTGGTGTTGCTGTTTGGGTCCCAAATAAGCAAAGTGCATTTGTAAGTGTCTGAGCTTTGCCAGACCTTCAGAGCGTGACATGGGACAGCCCAGCATCAGATTCCTGGTTCTTTCTTCTGCACTAAGAGGAGCAGACGCGTGCCATCTACTGTTGATATTTTATATGACACTCGCAGTCCCAACGATGTGTGCTGGGACAGTTTATATAATAAATTACTGGTCTTGGGTTTTTTTCTCTCTTTTTGGGGATGGAGCAGCAGCCTTGTTCTTGTTCAGTTGTGTCCTGGATGAAAAGTTTACACCATGCCTTGGTTGCCACGCTTTCTCAATTTTTCTTAGGTCAAATGGATGTGTGCTTTTTTCCAGAGGGAAACTGACTTAGACAAATATGTGAATATCTGTAGGAGAGAAAGGCATGGAGCACCATGATACACTTCTCATGCACTTTAAAGGAGAAACCTCTCTCTAGGAATTAACGTGGGATTTAAAACTGGAACATTTCAGGTTCTGACTCTGTCCTCTCTAGGTAGCAAAGTATTTCACCTCTTCCCTCACCTCCTGCTGTTCATAAAATGGATGCAGAAATATGTGCTGACCTGCTTATCCCATAGGAACTCTAAGGAGCTATTTGCTTAGTGCTCTAAATGAGTAAAATCCTATATTAATGTTTAAAATTATTACAAATAATGGCCTATAACATAATTTCCCTAATTGTAAGGATGTTAATGGTTTTTATAAAGATTTTCAGACATAGCACTACCTATCTGTTTTCATCTGAGCAACAAAGTGAGCCATTGACCCAAAGAGACGTTACACAATTAAAGCCTATCAGCTCAGGGTAGTAGTGCACTGCTCCACGTAGCAGCTGCTTTCAGCTGCCTGCTTGCTTGTGTCACAGCAACTGGGCAGTACCAACTGCAGCAGGGAAAAAGGTGTCTGCAGGGAAGTGGAGGGCGTGGGTGGGAGAGGATGTGGGGCGTGAACTGTGGGAGGTAAGTGGTACATGGAGGGATGTCCAGAATAGATGTGGATGGTGGATATGCTGGGAAGGAAGTTTGAGAGCCTCTGGCTCACCACGTGGGACAGTGGCTCAACTGGGTTTCAGAAGACCTTCTTAGCCACAGGTCTCTTGTGTGACCTTAGAAAAATCATTTAACTTTTCTGTGATTCTCTTTTCTAGAAAAAAATTCTGTGTACCTTGGAAGGATATTGGTGCGATGGGAATATACTAGTAGTATGTGCTGCTTAGACATGTTTGTGCTTTGGGGCCTATATATATGTAATGAAAGTGAGACAGATGAACTCTTTGGGTTTTATTTATCAGTTGTCTGTACTAATTAGAATAATAAAAAAAAAAAAAAAAAAAAACCAGCATTCATTCTCTCGATTAAATACACAGTAGAAGACAGATTCTTCCTGACAGCTCATGCACCCTTTTTCTTCACTGTGCGCAGAGTAGAGGGTGTTCAGAGTCTGCAGGTGCTGAGGAATCTTGGTTGAGAGCAACAAGCAATAACACTCATTATTTCTGCAAATTCAGCCACCAGCACAATATCCCTTGCCATTAAAAAGAGTACTTCCAGGACAGGAGAGTTTAATAGATATACATAAGGGTGAGAAAAGTACCAGTTATGAATATTTGCCATGGATTGATATGAGGGATGATGTAATTGAAAGTAACTGCAGTCTGCGTTGTAATGTGCCTACACAAGGACACTGTTGCTGGTACGTGCATAACTTTGTGATGCTTTTTGATGTTTGAGTCCTCAGTTGTACCATGCCAATATTGCTGTGCACTGGTACAGCGTAGATCGCCGTGCTGTTCAAGCTGCTGCCTAACAACAGCCGCATAGACTTGACAGTATGCATCAAAGATTTCTTCTTGTATGTGTTAGTTCCCTCCTCTCACCAAACATATACACAGGCAGCATTAAACTGTGCATTTGATTATCCTGCATGTGCTAAAATATTTTATATTAAATAGTTACTGGATAAAATACTGAAACAATCCTGGAAGCAGGGACCAGAACTCAAGTCTCCAGCCTCTTGGTGAGTGCTGTAGATCACAATAGTTAGAACCATGTACCCTCTTGCATGCTCTCTCTCCATCCCAGTAAATCTTTAAGATCTTTATGTGTAGTAGCACGATTTCAGCAGGAAGATGGAGACTTTTTTTTCCATGTCGTTGTTTGAGCCTGGTCAGCATCTAAACGCCCCGCAGTTGCTCACCCACCATCCCCCCACTTGGGAATGGGGAGGGAATCGGAGGGGCAAAGGGAGACTCGCAGGTAGAGATAAAAACAGTTTAATAACAGTAACAGAACAATACACTGACAGCAGTATCAACAGGTAATGTCCCATACAGCTGCTCACCACCCACTGACCAACACCCACCTGCTCCCAGCTGGCAATCCCAAACACAAAGGCCCCACAGCCACACTCCCAGAAGTGGCAGCCCCTCCTGGCCCACTCCTGCCTTTATATAGTGAGCACAATGTCACATGACATGGGATATCGGCCAATCGGGGCCCAGTCCTCCAGCTGTGCTGCCCCCGCCCCCGCACACAGGTGAGGGCACTGGGACCTGGGGAGCCCCTGGGGTCTCAGGGTGCTGCAGCTCCTCCCGCTGCCAGACCCACGGGAGCTCTAGGCCAGCCCCAACCAGGACATTAATTATATAGAAGAGACAGCACCACATCCTCTTTCACTTCTCCTTCCTTTCCCTTCTCATCTTTCAAAACCAGGGAGATGATAAATATCATGAACAGCCCAGTCCTGCTGTTGTGGATGTGCCCTGTCCTGATGCTGAGCCCTTAGACACTGTATGACTGTAAGTCTGACTTACAGCCTGTGTTTAAGGTGACCAGAGAGCAAAGAGTTGTTGTCAGTGGAGTGGTGTGAAAAAGTCAGGTTAACTAATGAACCCAGGCTGATAGCTGTGGATGATGAACAAGGATCATATTCTGTGTTTGGCTTTTCATAAGGCTTTCCAATATAGTTATTGATGGAAAGACTGCATGCTAATATGAAACTAAAGAGGTGAAATTATGCTGCTGCTGCCAGAAATAATCATGGGTTAGTGGTGCTCTGTCTTCATTAGTGCAACGAATCATTGTTAGTGACTAGATCCCCTGCTGGTGTAAATCACGAGTTGCACTAATGAAGCCATTAGAGTGAGATACATTTTTAACAAAAAAAGTGATTCATCATGGAAAAAGTTTGAGTGGGAAGTAGTAAATTTTCATCACTTGGTGTCTTGAAACTAAGATGAGACACTTTTTTCTAAGAGTTGTCTTAGTCAAATAAGTAATAGGGCTTGTTATAGAGATACTTGGTGTCTCCAGTAATACTAAGTACATGATCTAGTAAGCTGTTCTCACCTTAAAATTTATGCATAGTTGGTTTACAGTGAGGCCAGAATCCAATTCTGTCTACCATTAGAAGTTACAGTTTCATTGCAATGTCATAACTCTTTTTTTGTTTGTTTGTTTGTTTTAACAGGAAGACTATTGGAGTTTTCTGTTGTGGACCAAACAAAATCTCTAAGATACTTCACAAACTGAGCAACAGCAGCAACTCTTATGGGACAAGGTTTGAGTATAATAAAGAATCCTTCAGCTGAAAGTCTGTTGGACTAGCAAGACTTTCTAGAAGATAAAAGTGCAATCTTTTGTTTGTACAACTTAGAAGTTCAGCTGTGGTTTAAACAGACAGAAGTGTACCAAAGAATAACACAGATTTTCTTATTTATGATTATTTAAGACTTTGGGAAATGATGAATGCAGCAGTTTACCAACAAATAATAAGTGCTTATGCTCAAACCCAAACGTGCTCGCACAATATTTGTGGCAGTGGTGATTCTTTGGAGTTGTTTCTGTTAATTAAAAAGTACAGCATTTGGGGAGAGACACAATTGCTTTAAAAGCTGATGGAAGAAGAATCTGTGGAATGTTTGAACTTATTCCACTTCAGTCCTCTGAAGCTGGATCAGTAAACCAAACCCCAAGTTAATTCAAATGACAAAACATACTGTATTACAAAGACTTTTGTTGTATACAAGCTCATGGCTTTAGGGTGGAAGCACTCTATATTGAAGATTTTTATACATTGCAGATTTGGGATTCTGTATTTAAAATATAGAGTGTTACTCTTGCTAGTCTACTTCCGTAATGGATATGAATATTCCCACCCTGAATGGAAGAGGGGGTGGAACATGGGGGGAAGATGTAAGTTAACCTATGGAAAAGTGAGCACAACCGTATAGCACCTGTGGGCAGACTCTGCCATGATGTAAATCACAGCCTTTAGGCAAACGAACAGCTGTATGTGGAGAACTCTCTATCTTGCACTGATTCAGCATTCAGTGAGTTTGCAAAGTGTGATTTAAATAGCCAGATAGATGGAGCAAGAAAAGTGATTAATGGGAGCAAACAGGATATGATGTTTTATTATACCACGCGCTCAACATGGAAGTTGCACTCACTCTACACTCACATGCGCTGAATGTCAAATACTTCATTCAGATGCTCTTACTGATTATTTTAAAATGCAGCAGGTTGAAATCCAATTTTAGAGGTTCCAAAGTATGTTTGGTTGACTGTGATCCTTTGATTACCTTCCCTGGAGTCACACTTGTTTTCACTGGTGTCACTGAAAGCAGGATCAGGCCATATCTACAGCAGAGTAAGAACAAACCCCTAATTACCGTGGCTCTTTGCATCATGTGTGCAGACAGAAACCTTGCAGGAGCTGTGATATGGTTTCAGTATGTTCCAAAGGGGAGGATCTGAAACATCCAAATTTAAGTTCTCCTTCCCTTCTCCTCTCCACAGCTGTTTTCCACTTTGCTCATAGCTGCCATGGAAGGGCTAGAGGTTGAGACAGGCACTTTATAACTTTTTGGTTCTGAGGAGCAACTGTTTTTTTCTTCCATCCAATAGCCAATCCAACTTCATTTATTTCTCCTTTACCCCCTTTTCCTTATTTTACTGAGAAGAGGGAATTTAAGCAGTAGTCAGACACTTAACTGGTATAAATAAGCATCATTCTAGTGTGTCTTAATAGAGCAGCATCACTTTACACATGCTGAAAACCTATCCCTCAATCTCCAGCAGAATCTTGGGAGCAATACCCTGCAGTGTTTGCAGCGCACACAGACGTAAGATGGCTTGGCATCCACAGATGCCTGAGGTTCACCTGTATTTAGCACAGTGCCTTCTGATTTGATTTACATCTTTCCAATGAAGACCTTTTTTATTTTAGTAGGAAAGACACTAATTTTCAGCTCACAACACAAACTCTGTGCAGGGGTCTATAAGTATCAGTATTCAAAGGGAAGCATTTTTCTAGTAGGTGGTGTATAGGCATGTTGTATGTGTAACTAGTGAAAATGAGCTTGATCTTTGCCTTGGCAGCTTCAGTTCAGGAGTTGCCCTCAGTGGAGCATCAGGGTGGGGGTGCAGCAGTGAAGCCACATGGGGACATGTTCCTCAGTGTCTGGACTTTGCACTGAAGTTTTTACCTCTGGCTCTGCTCAATTTGAAATTCAAAGGGGAAGGAAAGAGCCAGAGATGGACATATTCCTACTGACGAGAATTCTCAAAGTAGCCTAGAGGAAAGAAGCCAAAATAGAAATGAAGTGTGAGATGGAAGCCTACATTGCAGCTACTGATTTTAATTTTTTTTTTTGGAGGCTGGAAGGATCATTATTTTCCCATTGGATCTCATTCATCCATCACTGTAAAACTGGAGTTATGCAGCAAAAGGATTAGGTCCTTTTTAATCATTAAGATTTATTTCTAATGCTGCCTGCATGGGTTTTATAATAAACATAAGACTGATGGCAAAATGCATAGATATTGGATATTACTGATACTGTGGGCCTTTTTGTTTCCTGGCAGTTAGTTTAAAGCATGATTGAAATCATGACTGCATCTATTAACCACAACCAGACAGTGATCTTTTTCTTCTTGTTTTAAGATCTAGTATTTAGCAGTTTTTAAATATGATGTAGAGTCATCTAATCACAATGTTATTTGTGGTTTCACATCTCCTCTCTGTTAGATATCGGTACCATTACCATATAATGAGCATCTAGTTTTGTAGTTAGCTCTGTGCTAAAGCAGCTTCTATTTTCTGGCTCAGCTCTTATATAGGTAGAGCTTTATAATTAAAATAGTAATACTAATACTGTGTTCTTGTTCTGCATTATAGCAGGAGCTGATGCTGTTTGTAGGCACGTTAAATGCCTGTTGTTACATTAAGCAGTGCTGTCAGAGCAAGATATAAGCAGAGCCAGGGTCTCTTCTTTCTGCTTCTGTCCTGTACCAACCTCAGCTGACCCACTTGTAAAACAGACATGGGACTGTCTACCTTCCTGGAGTGCTCTGAGGCTTAATTAATGTTTTGGAATCACTTTAGTGCATCTGCAGTGAAAAGATCTGTCTAATTGCTGTGCAATTGTATTTTTTCTTTATTTTGTGTAAACCTTTCTGTTGCTGTTATGAGTAATTGCTAGACCAGGTGAGGGTGAGTTTGGGGAAAGGCTAAAAGCCTCAGTTGCTTTTTTCCTTTTCCTTGAACTATGCTTTTTAGAGGAGCAAAAAGTTTGAGGGTTAGTGACTGTGACTTGGCTTCAGGAGTGGCAGATGTTATGATAAACACAGTCTTTCTATAGGCTACATTTTCCTTGCTACTGCTGAGTGTGTCTCCAGCTTACAAAACTGACCCCAGCCCTCTTTCAAACTCCATAGCTTTTTTATCTGTAAGCCAAACATACATGAAAATATAACTCGGTGCCAGACAAGTAAGTAAAGGCTGACAGCACTCAATTCCACATTTACAGATTAACTGCATTTATGTAATTAAATGTCTTTTTATGCTTTAAACTGAGTCCTGTAAGTGGTCCTGTCATAAGTGTCCTGCTGGCAGGGGAAGGATCCCACCATGTATTCTGCTACTTCTCACTCTGTCACAAAACTGCAGACCCCTCAGTGTTTACTCAGCAGTATCTTTGTGTTTTATTCATCATAAACGTTTCAGGACTTTTTAAACCAGCAGTGTTTTTATTCCATGAAGGAAACCAAGCCCTTTACCTGCAATGGGAATCCAACCCTCATACAGCAGCGTGAGACTTGGGGGTTTGCACAGCTAGCAGCTGGATTAATCAGATTTACCCAAGAAATCCTATTCCCATAGCACTGAGATTACTTGTGTGAGTAAATGTTCACTACCATAGCAAAGGACTGCAGAGGTGAGCCCTGATGGAGTGTGAGAAGGCCTGATGAGGAGTGACCTTCATCTCTGAAGTCTGCAGGACAGCCTGTACCTCCATGATGATTATTCCAGCTCTGAGTTTGGAACAACACTTCCCTATTTCAGCATATGGTACTAATAGCATGTGAGTTCTTCCTTGGTCTTTTATCTGCTCTTCTAGGAGACAGGACTGAAAGAAGTATGAGAGATCACCACATACAACCTTGAACGTGGGCAGGGGAGAAGACACCACTTCATACCACAGACACCTAACCAGTAACTGTGCTGCTTAGGGTAGAAAGTTTCAGCCAAATCATTTTTCTGCAAAATGCTGATTGTTTTGCCACAACAGACTAGAGAGCAATTGCTGTAAAGGGAAAAGAGATAAACCCTCTCTCTGTTTGAAGACTCCTGCCCACACAAACCTGATGGGAAGATGTGTATGAAAGCGCTGCACACATTCAGCTTCCACTGCCTCCCCATCGCAGGCTTACTCCCTCAGCACCAAATCCCCTTCATTTTCTTTGGTTGCAGATCTTCACCTATCTTGTTAGCAGATGTGCCTTGAAGTTGAGAGAATTGCTACGTATACTTGCATCCACAAACAGTCTGATACAAGCACAGAGCTACCTGTGAGCACCCTTTGCAACCAGTGCAAGCAAGTGTAGAGTTGTCCTTTTGCTTCTAATGCTTCCAGCACAGAGGTGAGAAAGAGATTTGGAGATGGCTGAGAAAGGGCAGATAATTCAAGTGGCAGATCAGCCAAATTTAGAACAGTAATTTAGCTATAACAACCCAACAGAGCAGAGAAATAATGGTTTAGTAAGAGATTTGCTTTTAGAACAGCAGCCTAAGAGAAAAACCTCTACTCAACACTAATGCACCAAGTTATAGTTTCAAGCTAGAAAACATTGCTTAGAGAAGCAGACAGGAGACTAACTAGTCATTGCCTATAGCAGTTCAAGCCCCATAAATCAGAGAAGAGACACAGTTATTAAAATGCAAAGTTTACTTGTTTAAAAAATAAAAGGGCTTCTAGAGAGATTAATTTTCACTTCAGCCTGGCAATCATTTCATAAACATGCCAGTGTGATTTAAAATAAGCTGGATCTGTTCTTCTCTGGATTATGCATATGATTTGTCTGCAGATTTCCCACTCCTCACAAATAAAACCAGTTTTTATTGTTTTAACGAAGAGGATTTAACGGCAAGGTTTAATCAAAATGCCACTGGTGCCAATGCTGAACTGAGCTTTTCTGCAATGAATGTACATTTTTCAGGGATATATATAATACATCTGATGACTCAACTGTGAACAGTGATTTGGGATTTGCATTGTCTCTGCTGCTGGTGTATTTTATTAAGGCCACTGTAGTGATGAACTGGTGAAACACATGGAGCTGAAATTAGACTCTTCATTCTCATAAACAACCTGATATTTTAGTGCCTGTAATAATCATAGTAGATCCCAGAAACTCTGGAATTTCCTTTGTAGGTACAGTGGATTAATTAGCTAGCATCAGTTAGGGTTGAACCCTGAGTCCTCTGCTGGACTGCCATGTATAACAAATGCTCTTGCACAAAGGTTTTGAGCAACAAATGCTGCTCCTTAAAGAGCTGAATGAGTATTTGTGAAGGTTTAGTATCCTGCTAGTTGGATCACCTATGCTGTAGAGAGATGCGATCTGTTTTGGTACCGAGGAAAGCTGTGCACTTCCTCTGAGGTTATGAATATTTCCAAACTTGCAGTGGATGCTCAAGGTTTGCCATGCCTGAAGTGTTATATTCTCTAGAAGGATCATACCTGTAAGAGACAGCTGCTGGCACTGTACTAACAGCAGTGCATCTGTTCCATTATT